CTGACAGGGAGCAAATTTGCTCCAGTCAGCTGGGGAGCAGGGGGCAGGAGATTGCTCCCTACCCCCAGAAGCTTCCTGCGGCTAGACCAGGCTCAGTCACTGGAACCCGGGCATGACAATGTCCATTCCCCTGCCTTGGCAGCATGGAGCTCCCAGCCCTTGCTCTGCTCCGCAATTGTGGAGTGAGGAATGGGAGCTCCCTGCATGGAGAGAGTTCCCTGCCCATTCTGGAGCTGGCTGGGACCTGCCTCTGACCGAACAGTTCCCAGCCAGCTCTGGGCTGCACAGAGAAGTCTACAGTGCACCCTGGAGGTGGCTGGGAACTGTCCCGAAACGGGCAGTCCACAGCCAGCTCCAGGCTGCACAGCCTGGGGCTGGCCGGGAACCGTCCCAGTCAGGGGCAGGTTCCAGCCACACAGCTTTTTCCCAGTGCCATGCCCCGGTTGGGCAATCAAGGCATGGAGCTTGGAAAGAGCTGTGTCCCCTGTCCCAATCCACCAGTGACGCAGCTAGCAGAGAGCTCCTGGCTGGGCAGGGAAACCCTGGCTTGGCAGGGAATCTGCTCCCGAATGCCTGCATGTGTAGCTGCCTGCCCAGGATTGGTTTACACTACAGTAATTTACTGTAGAGTAAACCAATTTTGCAGGATTTACATGTGTAGATGCACCCAAAGAGTATTAATAAGCTTACTTTTATAATAATAATAGGAATATTTTAGTAATTGTTTTATGTAGGACATACCAATCAAATACTATTAAAACAGGGGTTATCAACCTTTTTAGATTCAAGGCACCCCTTGTTAGACTCAAGGCATCCCTCTCTGGAATCAAGGCATCCCTTGGAAAATGGCAACTCTTAATTTTTACTCATCATTTGACTACAGAAAAATAATAGAGTAGTTTTTCTTTTGCAAAGAACTCAGAAAGACCACAACAGGTCAGAATATTTTAACACTAAGGATTTCTGTTTGAAATCTCTGGGTTTATTTTATGAATGATATTTGCGTGTCTCACAGTGCTAACATTGTATGGCAGTCTTGAAAGGATTTTGAAAAACCCCTGGGGCACTCCAGGTGTCACCTGCAGCACCCTACTTAAGAATCACTGGATTAAAATATTCAATAGCTATGCCCAGCAAAGCATGCTGAATTTTTGCATAACAATTCCCCTTCCAAAAGATGACTGCTCTATAATAAAAACGTTTCCATAATTTCCCATTTCTTCAACAAACTTTGAAAATAAAAATGTAGCCAATTTGGGGATCTTTTAAATATCATTTTCCATTTTTCCACCGTTTCTTTCTCTTTTTTTTTCTTCTACTCCTACTTTTTTCTTGGGCTACAGTAAAGAAGACAGAGAAAGAAAGGAAATGGGAAGCAAACATAAAACTAGAAAAACAGAATGACATTTTTCCGTAAAAATGTTAATGGAAGGCTTAGAGTAAATGAACACCTATTCCTTTTTTTAATCTTATCAAGGAAAAATTACTTATTTTTTCACACAAATTTGTTAGTATTTTCAAACAACTCTAATTACTAAATTAATAGATAAATAAGTTGAATGCACATATTCCTTGGAAGACCATTATATGTCAAATAAAAAGCTATTATGATATTTTTGAGAAATGTAATCCTTAAAGCTTAGTACTGTTTCTACAAAAATAGTTTTATTTTTCTCTCTCTCCTTTGGAACTGGTCAGTTTGTAATTCCTTTGTCCTTTACACAACAAAAATTCAGAAATCTTTCCACATCCTGTTTTCTCTTCAAACCCATTTTCTGTGGATAATTACAAAAGAATTCTTCTCAAGGGAATATACAATGAAAGGCTCTGACAATGTGTGAGGGCTGAGAACTGTAGAGCCACTGGGAGTGTCAGAAATTTAGTGAAGGTTGTTTGGAGTAATGTAAGATATGGCAGTCAGCTAACCAACCAGTTTTCAGACTTTCAACTCCCTGGTGTGGGCATACACTCTCAGATTCCCAGCCAGTCAAGCTCATCTCTAATACAGCTTCTTCCCTTTCTCTTTCTCAATAATCTTACAGCAGTACTGCAGTATCTAATGTACTTGATTGACTCAGAAAGCTATTCAAGGATATAGAGGGTGAAGTTACTCATTAGTAACTGTGAACTGAAGTAGATTCAGGCTTGCCTGCACCTTCATTTTTTCAGGACAGAACCCAAATTCAAAAGACCATTGTTATTACCCCAAAAATCTGGATGCCAAGACAACATTCTTCACGTGTCACTTTTTGCAGTCAACTGCCTGGTAACAGTGCTTAAGATAAGACTATGCATAAAATATGAACCATTCTATTTCAATAACATGCCTGATATTTTTCCTGCCTGCAGAGACAATAAAGCATGGGGAGAAAGCATATCACACATATTAAAAACATAAAACCCAATTTCAAGCTTCATGGTAAAGTACAACTCCATTTTTCCAGTTAAGAACTATGCAAGCATAGTTAGTTACCAAACAGGTATGTCTTGATTCTCAGAAGTATTGAGTTTCTGAAAAACTCACCAACTTCAGCTGTGGCTCCAGGCACTCAATAAGTCTCCTGCATGTTGTTTGTTTCTACTTTGGTTCTATGGGATACTGCAGTATCAATAATTTTAAAACTGAGAATCAAGCCTGCTGTGCCTTTTTGGTCAGAAATCATCATCAATTACTCTGTTGTCTTTAGAATAAGCATCTGGTTTGCCTTCCCTTCCCTTATTTCCTTTATAGCCATTGTTACTGTGTTTCTCTTTTTCTAGTTGTGGTTTGGTTTATTTTTCAAATCATGCTAAGGTTGTCATGACCTGTTTGTATTATCATACTACTTCTAAACTCCAGGCCACATCAAGGCCTTTTCAGGCTTGGCTCTGTGAAGAGAAACAGAAAATATCTTAACATTATAATTTTTCCATCTGTGTGTATTAGTAATATTGAATACTTCTGTAATGAAAAAGCAGTCTCTAGATGATTCATATTTCTATTATTAGAAGCATTTCTCTGTAGCATTGTTGAGCTATTTAGGTTTTACAGTCCTTAAACTGCTGAGTCCTGATTTGCACTTTAAAATTCCTTCATTGTACCATCAGAAGGTAGTAAATCAGAAATGGAAAAGCCTGCTTAACATTTTATTTTAATTTATTTTATATAAATTAGTTATTAATAGTGTAGCTAAAAGGAAGTTACTCAGGATTGACTTTTGGAGGCTTCGTGATTTATTCTGGAAAGTATTTACAAGCTTTCCTAGACATTATTCTGTGGCAAATGCAATGTCCTACTATGAGGCCTTAGGCCTGCTTGAGACATTAGCATGAGCAAATTTATCCTGTGCAAGCAAAGCTATTTTCTTTTACTAAAAGCAAAGCTGTGGTGTAATTTTTTTCATTTGTTAAAAGTATAGTGTAAACCAGGGGTCAGCAACCCTCTGAAAGCAGCAGGTCAAATTGGCGCAGATCACAGCAAGGGGAGTGGGGGCTGCCGTTGCTCCCCCTACTTCTGAATTGCTACAAATGCACTTCCAACCTGGCTGACACTTCCCCCGCTGCCAAATTGTCACCGATGTCCTGCCTTTATAGGCCAGATGAAATCACCAGATCCGGCACATGGGGTGTAGGTTACCAACCCCTGGTATAAGTGTAAAAGTCATTAGGTCAACTAATGCCAAAATTCCAAATTCACTAATGACAAAATTACCACAAGCTGCTGTTATTGAACAAAAAAAGTTGCTGGTTTTTTTGTGTCTGGAACAGCAGTCATGATACCATCAAGTCACAAAGTTTAGAAAAAGATAACATTAACAGTCTTCACAGACCCCATTTTTGCATTCACATGATCTCCCTTATAAGGCAAAAGACCTCTTAGAGGCCAGATTAACCAATCAGGCCAGCTACAGACATTACACTTTTACCAGTATAAGTGATTGGAAACCAGTCTATACCCGTAACAGAACAGAAGTTCAGAGCACACAGACTGGTTTAGAAATGGTGGAACCCAGTTAGATTTGTCCTTGCTTCCGTTTCCCCACCCACCCACCTACCTACCTACGGTGAATGTGTATTCTGTTCATTACCAACCTGAACTACACCGCTTACAGAAAACTGCATAACTTAGATCCGCCCCAGACATATCCCTAGACTGGATTCAGCCCTAACATGGATGACTGGTGCTGCCTTAGTCAGGTGGGGTACATGCCCCCCCAGCAACCAGTCAGTGACCGGGGGTATCACTCCCTACCCAAGGCTCCCTGCTCTAGAATTAAGGCTTTAAATGGGTAGAGATCCCTGCCCCAGCTAGGTTTACTCTCTTTGCCACGTAAACAGATATTCCCAGCACAGTGAAGACAGCTGGAGATGCTGACCGATCCTTCCTGATGGCTACTACCAGTTCCAGGCAAGCTCATGCACCTTCACTCTTGAGTTGTGCTGAGTTCTGGTTGCTGAGGGAGTAACTGAGCGAGCTCCTTCTATGAGGCAAGTGGAGCATTTTGACGCTGAATTGATGCTGTTGGCTTGGAAGACTATTCAGCTGCACAGACAGACACCGAACAGTAAAAGCAAGCACAGTACTTCAAACCCCGGGATAAGGAGCATGTATTTATTTCCAGGCTTCTGTGCCGGTCACTGCGGAAACGACCACTTTGGGTAGAGGCGATAGCTTTTATCAGACCAACTAAATCGTTGGAAAAAATGTTCTTTACGAGCTTTTGGGCACAAACACCCATCTTATTGGCTGTTTAACAGGAGGGTGGGCAAGGGCCTGATTTGGGGCAGAGGAGACATCCATCTGAGACCTAGGCCCGTTTCTGCCTGGTTCCGCAGAGCCTGCCGCGGAAGCTCAAGCCCAGAGAGAGCAGCGCAGCCCTCCCACCAGCTGCTCCGCTCAGGGACTTCGTGGCTCCCGAGCCCCACCAGGATGGGGCCACAAGCACCGTGTCCCTGCCCCTGGCACATCCCCACCCCGGGGGCTCCACACCACGTGGCCCGCCCCGCCCCCTGGGGGGGCCCCCCCCGCAGCAGCAGCCGCGCGCCATGAGCCGGAGCCGGAGCCGGAGCCGGAGCCGGAGCCAGCCGCGCTCCCGCTGCCGCTGGGGGGACCGCGGTGCGTGGGCCGCGGGGCTGGATGTGCCTGAGCCCCTCGGGCCGCGGCGGGAAGCGGAGCTCCTCCGCGGGGAGCCGCGCTCTCCCGGCCCGACCCGACAGGGGCGGGGGTGGCGCGGACCCCCCGGGGGAGCCCTAGGGAGAGGGAGGGTGGGAGGAGAGCGGCGCCCCCGGCAGAGGGGAGGCAGCGGGGGAGGAATAAGGCTCTTCTGGAAATACGAAAAGCATTGTACCTTTCTTTGCCAGGACCCCCACCAGGGGGTCTGGGCTGTGGCCCGGGCCTGGAGGCGGCGCTGGAGGGTACCGGGTAGGAAAAGAGGCAGGAAGCGCCCCCCC